CAGACATGGCCTGACAACAACGAGTTAATGGAATTTTATAATTACATATAATATTCACTGGCTCTAGTACAAGTTACACACACTTACATATAATTACATGATTAGGTAACATTGCCGTTAGTCTAGGTCATCCGTCATAATAATAACATAAATCAATGGTAATTCCCGGTCTATATTTTCCACATAATTACATGCAATTTCCTTACATTACGAGAATACAACACTCCATCAAAAACCTCCCCCCCCCCCCCTCTCTTTTTGTCTATTCTTCCCAATTGGTCCAATTTTCTTCTTCCTTCTTACCCAATCATACCACCTAATCACAACTATTCAATTGCGTCACTATGTCGACTGAAAATTTCAACCTTCCTAAAAAATAAATAAAGATACCTCTTCCATAGACTGAAAATCAAGTCTGAATAAATCCGCAACAATTTTCACTTGCAATTTCCTTCACGCAGTTCTTCCCATGGCCACAGACAATAGGGGTGAATCTACCACAAGGACAGCTCACCAACCACATTCACCCTCCACAAGGACACCACTGATAAAATTGAGCCAGCCACGGAAGATTCCTCCATGTATCAGTATCAGTACTACAGAGGACTACAACCACTCACAAGTAACAGTTAGTTACCAGCACTGGATCCATCTACAACCTTCTTTTGTTCCGAACAGCACAGCGCTCAGCATGCAGTACCACACGCGGGCAGATTACAGCATCCATTGGCCTAGAAGGTTGCAACAGGCGCGCCAATATTTACTGCACTCTGCAGATCTCGCTATACACAACAGGCACACACGACCGCCGGCCCGATCGAGCCGTTTTGCTCGGAGATCATTTTTCGATCTTCACAAAAAATAATTAATTCAACACACACGGTTTAAAGGGGAAGTTAAGGCAAAAATCAAAATTTCACCAGTTGTAGTCTTCGGGGTGCTGAGTCGAATGGTCTTGGTCCGAGACAGCTGAGACGCTCCCTTCCTACTTTAATCCCAATCGAACTCGCGCACTTCCACCGAAACTGGGTGACTGCGCCCTACGAGATGGGGATTTGTATGCAAAATGTCACTAAAAGCGCCGTTTCGTTCTTATAAAAGCACGGATGACCGCGATTGGCCCATATGTTGTAGTCTTTTGGACGCTGAGTCGACTGGTTTTGGTCCGAAAAGGCTGCGATGCAGCGTTCCTCCTTTATTCCCAATCGAACATGGTTGAACAAGTGGTCACGTGCTCCTGGGTGCCCAAATCACCTGGTCACCACGCCGGTAGGCGACAACTTTCACACCAAGGTTCAACTCGAGTGACAGGACTGCACCCAAAAAAGGTCAAAACAGGCTGTAAGTTGTACCCTGCAGGCACGGTGACCAGGTGACTGGTGTACGCAGGAACACGTGACCGCTTGTTCAACCATGTTCGATTGGGAATTAGGGGCGAACTCTGTATCGCAGCCTTTTCGGACCAAAACCAGTCGACTCAGCGTCCAAAAGACTACAACATATGGGCCAATGGCGGTCATCCGTGCTTTTATAAGAACGAAATGGCGCTTTTAGTGACATTTTGCATACAAATCCCCATCTCGTAGGGCGCAGTCACCCAGTTTCGGTGGAAGTGCGCGAGTTCGATTGGGATTCAAATAGGAATGGAGCGTCTCAGCTTTCTCGGACCAAGACCATTCGACTCAGCACCCCGAAGACTACAACTGGTGAAATTTTGATTTTTGCCTTAACTTCCCCTTTAACGTTTACGCGGTACGGACTCGTACTCGGACCTGGGCACCACAAAGTTAGGCACAAACCCAGATCACCGGAGACCGCACACTCACCTCACCGTGCACCATATCCAAAACAAGCGGTATGCACAACACCCCGGTCAAATACTGACCCCAACGGCGGGGGATGCAACGCACAATCGCGAAAGAAGCAAGTCCGCAAGTACGACTCGTACTTAACTGTACTTGTCGGAACGACGAGGACGACAAACGCTCCGGAGCACCACGCGCGCCGACATCACCGCACGCAGATCTACGCGCGATCCCCCGCGCGACCTACGACATCACGCAAGATCGACGTCTCCAGAGCACAATTCGCGAAGACAACAAGAAGCCATCACGTCGCGTCCGACTACACTCCACATATCTTCCTCAGCCTACGTTCACCTTCCACGTCGACGACCATCTTACCAGCTCCTCGGACAACCTGGAGAGATCTCACGGTAAGTCCAAAGTCAACACGTCTCTCTCAGAGACCCACCAATGAGACTTCTATTCTCCTGCGATACACCAATGACCGCCGTCCTGTCTGTGTGTTTTATAGCTCCGTCCACCTGACAGAAGACTCAGCCCACGCCACGAGGACCGTGATACAACACTAACCCCTTTATCAATAATCAATTAGTAAACAATCCTCGTTTCAACCAGGGAGTAGTACAATTGTACTACTCCCTGGTTTCAACAAAGGATTAATACCGGAGAACCCAGCCCCCTAGGGGACGCACAATCAATTAACTACGAGTGAACCCAAGACTGTCCAGCGCAACATCCGAGGTAAGCAATGCTGACTCCGACATTCGATCCCAAAACCAGCGTACCTCATCTGAACAACATCCTAGGCACTGCACTTTGAACAACACGAAGGAGAACAACAACAACAACAACAACAACAACAACAACAACGACAACAACAACAACAACAACTACAACAACATCAACGTCATCAACACCCAGACCACAACACCAACGTGCAGACGGGGTGTTCTGACGTGGTGAAGGCCTACCCATGGCCTCGTGGGGACATCACCAACCTCGTCGGCAGCGAGCACCTTCTCACAACAGTTGTCATGGTGATGACTATGACTGTTACAGCTAGCTGACGAGCTGAGAGAAGGACGCCATGAGCAGAAGTTGGAAAAAGACAAAAAAGAAAAGAACAAAAGAAAGATAAATGACAAATTACAGAGAAAGACAAGAAGATAACAACATTACAATCACAAAATCCTTTCCAGACGTGATCCCTACAGCGGCAGCAACGCGACAACGTGAACAATACTGCGGCGGCAACACAACGACATCTACAACACAAAAATAGATTTTTTTTTTAATCCTACCAACCCGTGGGGCGCGTTTGGTTGGTACGAACTAGAACAGGATTCACAAAAACAGTGCGTTTGGTTGGGACTGCACCTGTTCTGGGTCGGCCAGAACATGTTCTGCTTACTCCGGCCTCGAGGTCGGAGCAGACCGAGAAGCAGTTTCACTTTTTCACAGTGAAACCTGGCGGGAACATCGATTTTGGTCCCAAATGATCACGTGCATACGCTTTTGGGTTGGATTCGTTGTACCGTACAAAGTGACCATGGTGACCCATACGCATTTTGAAGAATGCACCAAGTTTGGCACATTTTTCACAAAAATGTGCTCTGTTTCTGGAGTACCATTTGGTTGACATGAGGCTGCTCCATGTGCACCAGCTGTTCGATCCTGTTCTAGATCGTACCAACCAAACGTACCCCTAGAGTAACGAGGGTCCGAACCCGGGTTTTCCCAATATGGTTCAAATGGTCGCAAGACCGGGACTCTGCCAACCGGGTTATGGTTGTAGTCAGGAGCACTACGCTTATCAAACGTCGCACCCGAAACAGGTGGTTTCGCCTCCTTTGATACATGTGAACGACAGAGGAGAGACAGGGAACGAGAGAGAGAGAGAGAGAGAGAGAGAGAGAGAGAGAGAGAGAGAGAGAGAGAGAGAGAGAGAGAGCGAGAGAGAGAGAGAGAGAGAGAGAGAGAGAGAGAGAGAGAAGAGAGAGAGAGAGAGAGAGAGAGCGAGAGAGAGAGACGAGAGAGCGAGAGAGAGAGAGAGAGAGAGAGAGAGAGAGAGAGAGAGAGAGAGAGAGAGAGAGAGAGAGAGAGAGAGAGAGAACGAGCGATGTCATTGGAACGATCAGGTAGCTCACAGTGACAAATGACAACGTCAGAACACAGAGAAAAGCCCGACGAAGCCTGAGTAATTCTGACATTTCGATCACAAGACACCTGATAGGGGAATTACATTCTTCTTTGTAGAAAGCTCGGCCGGATACTTGTGGGCCAAGGAAGGACGGCATGTCATGCCTAACACTAACAGAGGCTGTTGATATGTGCTCGTGAGTAGGAGCTGTACATGTGCATGTAGGCGGTGAGATCATGTGTAGGGTAATAGCATATCCACGACAGGAATGGTCGCGAATTCGACACTAAGCTGCCTACTGCAAGCGCAAGCCAAAGGATTGTGTCAGAAGCTGCCAACATGATTACACAGAGTTGCAACAATAAAGCTCTTACCTCAACTATATTCTGTAAGTGGCTACAATCATGCGCATACCGTGCACCAGACTCCATTCTAAAGAAACATATTCTTCGAAACTCATGCTTCCTGTCAAATCACACAGGCTGGTGGAACGCAGCCCTCACTGTACCCAGATAATTGACGCACAGCTAGACTAGTAGGCGGAGAGGCCCAATGTATCCAATTTTATATTCATATAAAAGTCTGAGGGACTGAACATACTAAAATGCTGGTATCACACAAGG